CAGAGAACGGGGGATACAATAGCTCTCAAAGGGCGCAGTATATCATACCCTGAAATATTACATCTACATCTACATCTACATAGTCTCGATGGGAGAAGTTACTCAGTAGTGACACTCCGCTGTTAAGTATATCTAAACACTCACTCTCTAAAGGCTCTCCAAGGAGGATCACCTCAAAACTTGTCTGGAACTAACTAAATACCTTTAAAAAACCGTTATCGTCAAAAAGCTTAGCGCTAATTTGGGTCCAGTCCTTGAGGGAAAACCGGCAACTAGGCAACAGACGTGCTAAAAAAGTAACATCGTAACAATACATCTAAATCTATTGGCTGACATAAAACTGGTGGAAAAGATGGAGGAAATTGAACCTCAAGCAACGAATCCTAAGCAACTAAAGAAAATAAGTGGCAAACGGTGCAGACTAAATATACACTGCCTACTATATGCCTAAAGTCGCTGTTCTTCTTTTTTTCGTTGTACTTGAAATATATAACTGTCGAATTAACTATAACAAGTAAATATAATATTGATTTTGAAATATAATTGACTTGTATAGTCATGTGTGGAGAAGTAACTTCGTTGTGACACTCGATATAGTTATACTTAACCACTCACTCTCCTCTAAAGGCTCTTCGACCTAGATCACCTCAAAACTTGTCTGGAACTTCCAAAAAACCCAAAAAAAGTGAGTTCCAGGTCATGAGGGAAAAAACGGCAACGAGGCAACAGATGTACTTGCTAAAAACCAAGCTTAGGAACAGCTCATAAGCTCAAATCCATTTAGTGACATAAACTATTGCCACGTTAACAAGGAACTAAAATCTTGGGAACAAGTATAGGAAGCGAAACCCAGGCATGAGGCAAGTAAAAAGACAACCCAACGGGAGAAGGAAATCCTACTTAAGAGAAAGGAATTACAAACTCTAACGGATATATTTACAGGACATGCTCCAGAAATGAACCATCTAAAAAAAAAGAGACTATGGACGGAAAAAGTCGATTATGTCTAGGAGATAAAGACCCGATACCCGAGATCTGAAGGTGGTTAAACGAACCTGATAAACAAGAACAGCAAGGAAAGTTATTCCATCATACTGGGAAACGACCAAGTTACACGATTACTACTAGCGAAGCTCTACATTGTTGTTGCTTTGTGTTGGTGCCCTGCTCCTGATCTAGATGGCAAAACGAATCTGACAAACCAAACCAACGAAGAACGTTACTCCAGAGTAATCGGAAATGACCAAAGTACACTTTATTACTATTGTAGTTAACGTTTTACGTCTTGTGTTAGAGCCTCACCCTGTTTATTTCCCTGAACCACCAGTGACGATAACGAAACAAATCTGACAACCAATACAGCGAAGAACGTTACTGCAGACTGATCGGAAATGACCAAAGTACATGTTTATTACTATTTCACGTTTTACATCGTCTTGTGTTTGAGCCTCACCCTGCTTATTCTCTGAATCAGTAGTAGTATCTGAAGATGGCAAAATGCTGAAACGCGTCTAACAAACCAAAAACTCAACGAATGGCAGTCCAGAATGATCCGGAACGACCAAACTACATTTCCATTACTAGTTTATGTTTTACATCGTCTTAGCTTTGTGTTTGCGCCTCACCTTGCTTATATCCTTGAGCTGAAGATGGCAAAAGCGTCTGACGAATAGAATCAGCGAGAAACGTTAGCCCAAAGTTTCCGAAAACGACCAAACTACACGTTTATCACTAGTACAGTTTTCTTTGTGTGCTCACCCTGCTTATATCCTGACCCATGGATTTCCTTCTCTCCAGCATAAAAAAGTAACAAAAGTACAAGAGTCAATTGTAAGATCTAATCCGTGTCTGAAGCTAACTTTTAAAATCCCATCCTCATTCTCCTTTACATCTCTAGATCGAGACTCTATATCGGTAAAGGTAAGTGAATTAAGTTTTTAATTTTATTATTTAACTAAAACCAAAATTTGCATTTTTCGTCATCTTCCGTGATTTGTGTAAGATGAAAAATGCTGATGCAGGATTAATAAACAAAGCATTCCGCATTCCACCATCCTTATTGTTGAGTATTTGATGGGGCCTCACCCTGCTTACAACCTGATTCGTCACGTGTCTGACAAATAATACCGCATGAACCTGGATCCTACAACGGCATATATGTAATTTGGTCATTTCTCATCATCCTGGTCTGCCTATTATCGCTGTTTTTGTCTGTCACCTTTTGTCTGCTTCGGCATTGGCCATGTTCAGTATTTGCCGTTGGTACCTTCTTTTTCCCTGACCTACCACCGTACTGAAACTGCAGGTTCATCACCCCGCAGACCTCGAAAGGAATATCAACGTGTTTAACGGTGTACATGTTCTCAACAAATTCCGATTAACCAGGAAAAATAAAAACTATTGAAATGCGAGTATTGTTGGACTATTAAACCGGACAAAAAATTGAAATTTGTCTCGCTAATTAAATCTGAGATTTTGCGAGTACTGGCATTTAATCAAATTTTATTTAATTGTCATTTTAAAAAAATTAGGTACAGTTTATCTCAAAATAAGAAGAAGTTAAATTAACAGAATGATATGGAAGGCCTGAGGTGAGCTGCAATCTACTTAAGTTAAGTGGTCGGCCGTTGTAGGTCCCGGCTGCTACATATGTATTTCCACCCCGCCGCCCTCGCTCAACATTTCTTTCCATTCGAATAAACTTCATTCCGAGCCAAAGCTCACCCTCGCTCGAGGATTTAAGTCGAATCTCTTTAAACCCTATTCTCAACATAATACAGATACTGTAATGTTAGCATTCTTCACACTTGCCGACCCAAAGGGATCAATAACCAAACATTTCTCCGGCAACTCTCTGCATAAATTATATTTTGCACGTTGACGTTCGCTACATGTTGTCAAATAATGATTCTTCTCCCCGGGATGGTTATCGACTTTATTTGTACATTTTAGTTCGAGGACAGCAAAACAGAAGACACCCAGTAGCGTTCCTCAACTATTACCCAGAACTTAAACAATTAATAGAAAAAGAACCCTTAGATTACAGACACATTAAATAACTTATACATTCCAATACAGAAGTAAAGAAGTCACAAGAAGTCAAAATGCGCTATGCTAAATGCAAATAGGAGTTTCTGGCTTGATATACCGGAGGTGACTAGTTAAGGTCAATTGTGCAATGAGTTAGATAATTAGATCATAGTTGGTTGAATTATGGATACTTGGTCTTTTCCGTGAGCTTCCAAACGTACCACGGGGCGCCAGATATTGATTGTACGTTTTTGTACATATTTGACTTGTTCTTCGGAGGTGATGACTGTATAGTCTTGTCATATTGACAAGTTTGCTACGAGGTCAGTCAGGTAAAATTATATGGGCATAATTCACACCTCTATATACGACAAGGTTCCGAAAGCCACGGTAGGAAAATTTAGATGTAGATGTAGATGAATAGTCAGGTGAAATGGCATACTGTATTCTATTTTTGGGAATTGTACGTCTTTTACTTATAGTACACCATCCCAATCCATCAAGGAATGTGATTATTAGGCCCTGGTTTTGGAGGTTGTACTTCTTCCACAATATAGCTTGTCCCAAAAGCATTTTCTCGTACGAAGTGCAGCACTACCTTTTAACCAGGTGCGTTAGCCATTTGACTCTTCGCAGAATCTGCGCGTACAATTTTGATTGATGCTAATCTAAGTGTCCATTCAGCCCATACCGTCTGTGGTTTCTTTCTTCACAAATTTTGCAAGGAATTTTTGGATTTGCATCCAGTGAGGGATTTCTTTCCTTAGAAGTTGATAAGGATGCCATATCACAAAATGGTTCAGGACCTACCAGCACTGTAATAGACCCTTGTAAGGGCACCTACTTTTCTTCTCCTCTACTCCTGTCAGTCCAGGAACCTAGTGGAGAATGATTCCGTTTAGTTTGGTTTTGCAATTCAGCATCATCTCGAGCATATTATGTGACTGTAATGCTCAAGGTGTCTGATTATCTGATAGCTGTTTTTGTTTATACATCCTCTGTTCGAAATGAATTGTCACCACTACAATGGTTCGCGCTTTCCACGCTGCAATGAGATTCGTCGACGAGATCTTAACCAATTCTCATTAACGGAACAAGCTGCAAGTAGACGTATTAGCCACAGCTGCAAGGGTGCTCGCAGCAACATATCACCAACTCTCAATTCTGCTTTAACATCACTCCACAGACTTCGACCAACAGTTCCACCCGTAACACCAGCCCGGAAATTCGGCTTGAAATGTACTGCTATGTTAGATTTTATACTGAAGATTCTTTGTGAGGCTTCTTCATGAGGGCGATGAACCTATATTTTAGTCGATTTTTATAATTGTGCTAACCATAGCCTTGCTGTTTTTGACTACCAGACGCGTTTCAACTCGGTCTACCTCCTAAATTGTTCATGTTTAAAATATGCCAAACTTTAGCAGCAAAGTATTACGTTATATTAATGAATCAATTGTTTATGAGTTGGCTTAAACTTTAATTTAGTATTTATTGCGAAATCTTTCTGTGCTTGGGTTTTTTTCCTATTGCTTCATATTCCTCCAAACTCTATATGCCAATTTTTAGATTTTGGAGCTTTCTTGTTCTATGATTCTAGGAGCATTTTCTAAGGATCTTTCTAAGTAATGCTTTGGTTATTTTCTATTATTTCGAGTTTCATAATCGTTTCCTCTCTTTTATCTGCAGTTGCTGTAGTGTGTTGAATTCTTACTTGTGTGTTCCTTGTTGATTGTCTTCCGATACTATTCATAAGCGTGTCGAAACCAGGGATTATGCTCCAGGACAGCATAGTGACCAAAAAAGTTCCTCGTCTTAACACAATCTGCACAGTTTGCGTGGACACCACTTAGCTGGGCTGTGCACTATAGATGTTTGTGGTTAAGGAGGAAACTATGCGTAACAATGCTGACAATTTTATTTTAATCTCGTTGTTAGTTTATTTAAAAATAATAAATGTGTAGCTTAATTTCTCTCAGAGCTTTTAGAAAGCTTTGTTTTTTGTCGATACCTAAAGGATATACCAGAAGTATCGAGTAAGTACCAGTATCGATACTTTGTCCGCAATACCTTACAAATCAGCAAACCTTGTTTCTTCATTTCTTGCCTTCTTAGAACAACGTAAATAATTATTGATTAGGTATTGACGTTATATATTAATTTGATAATTTCAAAGGATGAACAAAATGGTGAAAGGCGGAATATTCACCTCAGTCGGTAGACACTTAGAAAAGCTCTCTTCTGGGCTCAAGTAAGGATTGATTCGGTCATTGTGCAGAGTCATAATGGAATTTGTTGCAGATTGAAACCGAAGTGGAACGTCGTGACCGCTGTCGGCGAAGTCAGCCAAATGCTGGAAGTGCCGAAAACCCTGGAAAAGCCACCCTACTGGAAAACTGGGGTGCCTCCTCCTTCACCAGAAACGCCAGAACTTAAAACAGCAGAACAACTTCGCAATTTAAGGTCCTCTTGTTCACTCGCTTTCAGTATTCTCCAACACCTGGAATCCTTTGTCAAGGTATCAAAACTTATTTAATGATACTTGGATATTAATGTTTAACAAAAAGTGACTGAAAGGTCTTAGGTTAAAAAGATATCTACACGGGGGGTGATGAACTGTAGGTTGGTATTTTCTGACATTTTGCCATCTTCAATGGTGGGTTTTGTTGCCTTTCTTAATCCTGTTTATATCTCTGAAGCTGGTGAGCAGCCTAAACATATCTGTTAGACCATTATTTTATCTCATTGTAAGATTAAAAATAATTTCAATTAATTATTCTTTTCATGTAAGGTCTAGGTTCAGATGAAAAAGTTATTGTCACAAGCATGATTTGAACCCACGACTTTCAGCTCAATACGCCTCTGCTTTAACCACTTGATATATCGTAACTTCTGAACTCGTTGAAGGTCAGTCGTGACAGCTCATGTGGTAGAGCAGTGGCGTATTGAGCCGAAGGTCATGGATTCAAATCCCGCTCGTAACACTAACTTTTTCATCTCAACCAAACCTTACATGAAAAGACTAATTAACTAAAATAATTAATTCATTTTCGCATCTTACATGTATTTATATAATTTAAACAATGTTTATAAATCCCAGGTGCTGAAGATGGTCTCAATAAAGTTCGAAATATTGGCACAATAAAGACAATGTTTTTCTAAATTTACATTTTTAAATCTAATTTTACATTTTACCAGACCACATCTCACGATCTCTAAATAATCATTAATTAATGTTCACTAAATACTACAATTAATACTACACTAAATACTTGTTATATTACCAAGTTATATAATTACACGAAGCTCTTAGGTTTTGGTTTTGTAAACTTAAATAATACAAAATAATTAAGTACACAAGGTGTAAGATAATCTACAATAGTATTTGATTAGGTGGATATGACTACGGATGAAATCGACAGAGAGGTGCACAGAATGTGCCTTGAGAACGACGCGTATCCTTCGCCCTTGAACTACTCCGGTTTTCCCAAATCGTGCTGCACATCGGTGAACAACATCGCTTGCCACGGGATCCCCGATTCCAGGAAGCTGCAGGACGGCGACATCATAAACATCGATATCACAGTCAGTAAGTTTTTTTTGATCACACGGAATCAAATATCCTGTCTACTCTGCCTGATAAATTTCAGGTTTACAAAAACGGCATGCACGGCGACTGTTCGAGAATGTACAAGATCGGCTATGTTGACGACGGCGGGTCGAAGCTATGTGATGTCACCTATGAAGCAGTTGAAAGAGCTGTCCATATATGTGGACCCGGTGTTCCTTATTACAAAATAGGTAATTAACATTTTTTTAAATAAATAACTGCATTTTTTAAATAAATAACTGGTATTTAAATTATAATCTGTTTTTTAAAGGGGAGGAAATTGAAAAATTTGTCGAAAGCAAAGGACTGACTGTAATACCTTGCTTTATCGGACACGGCATCGGCTCGTATTTCCATGGTCCTCCCGACATCTACCACCACAGTACGTATACCATTACAGTACGAAGAGAATAAAATAACGGATTTGATTATTTTCAGAATTTGAAGAAGCAAAGCTGCTCGGCAACATGACCCCTGGAGTTGCTTTTACAATTGAACCTGCAGTTGGAGAAGGAAAAAAAGATATTGTCATACTTGAGGATGGTTGGACAGCTTGTACACTTGACGACTCAAGGGCCGCTCAGAGCGAATTAACAGTATTTATCAATAGCCAGGGTGTTGAGGTGTTAACTAAATAAAACAACGTTTTTAATATCCTTTAGTATATACCTGCTGTAGTCATATGATAAATAAAATATTTATCTGTTTTATTTCTTTTATTAATTTTATACATCAGAGATCAAAAATGGGCATTTCTACTGATTATTATTATTATTATTATTATTTTTTTTTTTTGTAAAAACGAAACAAACATCATTATATAAGCTGAGACTGGATTTTCATGCAGTACAAATTGCCAAGATATGCCATCAAATACGCAGTTGAAAGCCCTGAAATATGCAGTAAATCAGTTTTTTACTATCATAGTAACTTTAAACAGAAATAGATGTTAAAACTCTTTAAAAGTAAAAATAATTAAAATCCACAAGTATTCATAGTTTTTGAACATGGGACCTTTACAGTGATGAGCACCGTGTCAACACCTAAACCGTTGCGGCCACAGATGCCCCCTAGTTTATTTACATTTAACAAAATATTTTCTCACATAATTAAATTATATATTTTGTATTAATTGAATATAATTAATGTTAATAAACAAATACTTCTCTAAATTGTCTTCCGTGAAATTGTGCCAACGGTCACTTAAAATTTGTGAGAATATTGAATATTGAAATAAGACCTAAGAAGGGGTTTTATATTCTTATGTCGGTATTCCTAGAATCTTCTATCCCTTGAATATATTTTGTGCAATAAATGTGATTTTACATAAAAAGCTTCAAATATGCAATTTTATGCGATATTTATCAAATATGCAAAAATATAATCCATAAAATTTAACCAACGGCTTCCTAGATACAATATTTGGATAGATAATTGATTTCCTCGGTCGTATGTGGTGGCAAACAAATTATGCAACTGCATAAAAACCCGGTCTTTAATAATGCTTATAATATAATTATTATAAGTATTGTTTTCATAAAAAAAAGAAATAAAAATGTTTTTGAATCCTCCCACAGCATTATTGTAAGGAATGCTTTACCTGGTGGGAGGAGAGAAAAACCGGGAATAGAAGGCAACTCGGGACATGGCCAAAGTTGGTCAAATGCAGTACAAGGGTTGATTTTGTGCAGTAAAATTTTAATTGTAAAAAAAGTTGGGGGATTGGAACAGGTGTGTAAAGCTGGTAGAGAGGTGTAATGAGTCAAGTCCAGTAATGGAGGAAGACTGAGATAATTAGTAAATGTTTCATCAGATTTTCCTCCTTGTGAACAGCCAAGACCATCCTGGATTGAGTGATCAGAATGGCAACTTGGAAAGGGATTAGCAGCTGTCACGCGGATGATATTTCCATCGGGACAAGGAGGGGCAAATTCAGTCTGGTCGTCCCAAGACGATTCAGGGGCAGGAGTCTGCAGTTTGTTGGATTTTCATATCAGTGATGTTATCCTGGATGGTGTGATCAGGGGAAATACCTGAAAGGGGATTTGTGGCTGCGACAAGTACGACTTTCCTACCATCAAGTCGGGGAAGAGGGCAGTAAGGTAATTATGCAAGTGGAACACCGAGCACCAGTGGCCTGCAGGCTAGTTTTGTGAGGGGCTTGGAGTTTGTTAAGCACTGAATTTTATAAGTTGTTAGCTTTTATAAGTTTGTCAGTGCTAAGATTTCGTTAATCTTTTTTGTCATATTTTGTTGGTTAATCACAATTAGTAGTTTTGTTTAGTTATTGAGAAAATATGTCAATTTTGTATATTTACTTTTATTTGAACCCAAAATCAACCCTCTGTGTGGTCTCCAAGGGTTCAGGGTGAGTTGGAGTCTCTTGTGTTTTCCTCCCTTTTCTAGGGCTAGAGATCATTTTATTTTTTATTTTATTTATCTTTAGTACCTTATTATTTATATTGTTCTACACCCAATTTTTTTTATTTAGTTCACCACTGAAGGACTTTTATCAGTCAATTTCAGGCAGTAACACAACAGTATTGTACATTAAACGTGGTGTGAATCTGTTCAGTAGAATTTTATAAGATTTACTATAGTGATCCCACTCTGTAATAATGATTTTCATTATTATAGAATTAATATAATTTGACTTTATTGTACATAAAGTGTTAAATTATATTTTTTTATTCAGGCGTATGTAACCATACCTTGGAATGAGGAAGTCAACTTTTTTTTTGGTCTTACGATCAGTACATTTCCATTTTTGTCCATCTTTTTCAAAACTTACAGGTTAATATTCGTTTTACTGCCTGTTTCTCAATTGTTGCAGTTTTTTTTTTTCTCTAATCCAAATAGGTATTCGATCTCAATTAGTTGGAACTAGTGTGACTCTGCTCAATTTGACATTTTCTATCAACAGCTACAAAAGTACATGGTAGACTTGTTAACATAAATAGAATTAAAACATTTTTACTTATTTTTGACAGTTGAAAGTAGAAGTTTTGATAGTGAATATTCTGATCACATACAAATTGACAGAAGGTAAATTCAACTGACCGGCTGATGTGGAGTTTCATAGGTAGTTACGCCTTGTCAAAAATTATGAAATTACATAGGAAAAAAATTAAATTTTTATTATCTATTATATTACATTTATACATTCAAGTTATTGACCACACAAGAGTTCGTCTTTGGAATGTGCTGATGATATAAAAGCAGTAATGTGTTTATGGTGGCTGACCAGCTTTTTAGGTAAGACGTTTACGATCTTATCCGCCTTCCCGGCGCAGTGGATCCACGGCAAAATGCTATAGTTATTAATCAGCAAATGGAGATCTTTGTCAGCTCCGACCAGGCATTTTGCAACGATCTCCTGAATTATATCCTACAAAACGAATATCATAATTTCTTAACCAGCCAATTTTTATTATAATAATTATACTGATTTTTGAATTCGGCATTCATGTAGTACCTTAATTTCTCTCGAAGCAAGAGAAGAGGAGTGGTAATCGAGGATTATTTTAAAAACAAAACTATTAAGGAGTAACTGGAAATCGGAAGTTTCTCGGAGACCATCCCTGATAACTTCTAAAATCCATAATTGTTGTATCCTAAAAAAAAAAATAATTTAAAAAAATTATAATAAAATGTTTATGCGTTAAATAAAAATAGAAAATTGCATAATGTTTCACTTTTTTCTTTGGATTTTCACTCCCACAATTTTAGAGAAGGAAAAAGTAAATAATTTCTGTCATACAGGAGGGCTTAACTACCTGTTGAGTTTTTCGAATGGGGAGGCAAAACACTTTATAATAAACTTTTTATACCATTATCAATTAAAAAGCCATGGGCTCAGTCTGGATTCGAACCCAGAACTGCTAGGATGGCAAATATGGACACCCTATCCACCACAGGCCTCAATTTAGAGAAGCAACACAGCACAAAAAGAATATTATTTTTAACATACTTATTACAAAAAGGGATTAAATATTTAGATAGAACATTTACCCCCTCTGAAGGTTGGTGTTGTTGAAGAATTCGAGGAAAGCTGGCACTGCATTGAAATTCATAGCCGATTTGGCATATATGAAGTTGTGTACCGGTGCATAAACTTCATTCAGGGGGTTTGCCACGACTAGAGACGCTTTGGCAAGAAAGGTCGCTACAATGGATGAAAGTCGTTTATTTTCTCCATGACTGTCAAGGCTTGCTATACCAGAACGGACAGCGTCGATGAAATGTAACCACACCACGCTTTCTTTTCCTCTAAAATTAATTTTTTTAAATGTATTCATTTATCTTTTTTTTATTGATTTTTCATTACTTTGGAACCATATCATAAATTTTCTTTATGAAGTAGTAACTTGCTGCTCTGATCGCAGGTTTAGAACTTGCAAGACTGGCAAATGCAAAAGCCAGTGCACCACACTGGAAAAACTTTCTGACCGGCATTTTGCTTTCTGGTTCTACTAGTTGACACAACACTGGAATTATAAACGCAGGATCGTATAAATCCTCCCTTTCTAGATCACAAAAACCCTTAAAAAAATTTTTGTAATTAATGCCAATGTTACAACAAACAGTTGATAAATATTCTGTCTTGAATAATCAGAATGTGTGATTTTATTCATGAAAATAGATCATTTTCATGTAATCATGCATAAAGTATCAATAAATTTTGGTTATAAAGAGATAATATTAAATAAATTTACACAAAGATCTCGATTCAAGGGAAAGTCGACCACAACCCTTTCTATAATTGACATATCCAGTTGTTCCAGAGTTATCGTTAAATTGGATTTTGGAGTTTCCTTTTTAGATTTAATTGTGTAGTACTCGGTGGCTTCAGCAGACCACAGGAAAGGTTTGCACGACATCATGTTCACTCCACATTTCTCATATTCCTGAAGTATCTGAAAACAAAATCAGATGATGCCAATGTGAGAAAAGTGTTTATATAAAATTTTTATTCTGATTAAATTTATTTATATATCACTGACTGTATTTTTACTCAAATGTTAATATTAATTGAATATATTAGTTTATTACAAAATGTTTTCTTACCGACAAAATCAACTGGTCAGTCTTGCTTAAAGAGGCTTTGTACGCCGATAAAAATAAAGGAAGGTGAGTGGCCTGTGGCAGGCTTTTATTTTCTTTGATGAGGGTTGAAATGAGTTGAAGTAAACTTTCTGTAAACAATGTCTTTTTTAACAAAACATTTATTGATAAGAGATCAATTAATTACATTAGAAAAAGTATACCTTTGATGGGTCCACTTTGAAGGAGAATATTGACAAACATGGAATGGGAGGTCACTAGATTGAAAATATCCTGGTTGGTTAGGCTGTCATCAGATTGTGAAAGATGGCTGAGCCCTGTCACAGCCCAGTGCCGAATCAAGTCAAGCATCGGTGGGGACGGGAGTGACATCCCATGGCGTATCAGATAGCGTACCAATTCTGGTGTGTATTTAGGCAGGGAAGACTGATCAATTTCAGTACATTCCAAAAGGTCCAGATATTTAGACGCTATGCTTTCACTGCAATTATATTTTAATATAATACGTATGTTTGGGACTGTTTAAAATTAAACTGACGATAATTACCAGAATTTTCCTTCTGAACTATTTACATCCTCCATGAGCCAATTATGAAGAAGAGTGATAAAATTTGAATTAAGACTACATTTTGAAAAGATAAGCTTCATCACATCTAGATTTTCCTTTGATGGCTGGATATTATGGGACTTTTTGATGATTCTCGTTGCTATATTTTCGCAGAACGAGGTCGCTGAAAGAAAGATATTCATTAATAAATGCAAGGTGTCAATTGTTTGGGCGAACTGACAGAACACATTCTCAACGACTGCTTTCAAATTGTGTATCCAGGAATGCTCGACTATAAACAATTTTACAATGGATTTAACATGGCACTGGAAAAGGTACTCGAAACGAGCGCCGCAATTATTGAGTGCGGCGAGTGAGATCACAAGATGGTCCAACGGGACTAACTCGGGGATTTTTAACATGCCGTGACTTTCCAATGTCTGTACCAACCAACATATAAGATCTTGGTAACGAATTTCATCACATCCCGTACATACGGCTTTGAACAAATCTGAAAAACAAAGATGTAAAATCTTATTCGTGCTTTTGTGGAAAACGCATAACTAAATTATATTAATTTCTTTCCCATCACTCACTATTCTTACCCCATACATTTGTATCTATTTTATTTTATTCCTGTACATTAAAATGTTGAAGCAGAATGTTTTACTAGTGGTGTAAAAGGATTTATTTTAAACAGAAATAAAAAATAAAACAATTTATGAGCATTATAAAGGTTTACTTTTAATTTTCTGAAATTATTGTTTTTTTATGACTATATTTTAAGTATAGCACTAAGAACGTTTGACATTATTAATACAAATTAATATTAGAATTTGTGTAAGGATTTTTTTTTTAAATTAAAAAAGATAAAAGTCAATTACTGACCTGAGAAACCATCTAACAATGCACTACTGTACTCAATTTGCATTGTCTTGAAATAATTGACCAGATTTGAATTTAGCTGATCAATAATGACCTTTTTATTGTGCAGATATTTTGTTTTGGAAATTAACCCACAAAGGTGCTTATTTCTAAATTTTATTTTAAACTCGGCCACTTTGTCCAAGAGATGCTGTAGCAAATACGCCCACTGAGTCCCGTCACCATCATGAACAAAGTACCTGCAAAGGACGTAATGCAATAAATTATGCTGAGTAATTAGCTTGGAATACTTTGGTGAAAACTTTCCCTGTAACTCAAAGTGTCACTGGGAAAGTTTCCAAATAAAAAGGCATACTTTTCATCCATGACGAAGACCATTTCTGCAAGTGTTTTTACATTTTCTTCTAAAAGATTAAGGTGCGAAAGCAACGACTCCAACTTATGACAATTCTTGAGGTAGCTCTTTTTCTCCTTCTCTACTTTCAAATCAAAGCACAACCTGCACAAAAATAATTAATTAAGAGATAACTTAATCAATAAAAAACAAACTTACCTGTTTGAAAATAAATTGAGAGTCGCTGGGGAAATTTGTTCATTTAAAATATCCATCAATTCCAGTATGATGTGGTTCAAACCGGTCGTTTGAGTAGGACGGAAGTAATCGTATAAACTGAACAACAATTCATTTGCCTTTATCGAAAAGTTATCTTGTTTGAGTAAAATTTTGAGAAATTGTGTCGATCTTGTAATAACAAATTCTTTGTTTCTACCCAACACGGAAAGCCTTTTTAAAATAAATAGAATTTGTTTAAAACATAACTCCTGTGTTACTCTATCCTCGCATTCAACCTATAATATAAACAATATCATATTGCATTTCTCGTTCTTATTTGCATCTTTTTAGTTTTAAATTGAATTGTTTTATAAAATTTTATAACAATTAATCTAATGTTACATTTGGAATAAAATGGAAAATTGAAACGAGAAGTTTGTGACATGGAGTTTGAAGTAATGGTAGTTCAAGTGGTTAAGAGCATCAGATTTTTTTCATTTTGCAAAATTGTGTATAATTAATTTAATATAAATAATAAAAATTCAAAATTTGCAAAATGATACAAATCGATAAACTAAAGCATTAAACTAAAGTTGTTCTATGTTTGGCCTTTGTGATCTTCCAGATAAAAAAAAAAATCTTCCCTTAACTTGGCAAATGACATCAATTCATTACACCATGACTGCACAGATTTTCCATTTTTAAGCAATACACTTTAAATTGTTCTATTTAACCAACTGAAATAATTCATAATGCAGTGGAGATAGATAAAATATTAGGTGTGTGCATGTTTTTCTGTTTTCAGAAGAAAAAGCAAACCAAACTCTCAAAATATATTTTCCTTCATTGTCTCATACTGCCAATGTTCTGGTAATAGAAATATCCTTTTAAAAAAATGTTATAATTTAGAAGAGAAGAAATCTGTTTTATTTTCAGAGCGTTTTCATTCGAAAATTTCCTACCTTTTAAGTGGTTGTCTAAGGAGCAGAACAAGCAAAAACTGGAAGAGGCAAGGTCTGCAGAGTATGGGGGATGGGCCTTTGTTGCCAGTCTAACTCGGCAAATTTACTCAGAGTGAGTGCAGTTGTGAGACCTGGTGTAGTCATGATGTAACACATTGCATCTATTCACCAGGGCTTGACGTTTTTCTTTCAATCCAAGACAATCTAGCTGGAAGCAGATATTTCTCCCAAAGGATTTGGTTTTGGGGTAACAGCGCCCAAGAAATTATTTCTCAAATATCCCACCAAATAGACAGGACATTATGAGGGTGCAATTAGGCAATTAGGATTTGACATTGTTGGCATTTTTGTTTCATTAATCTTACAAATAACTCTTCTGATTTTTTCCTATTCAGGTATGAAATGCAACAAACTATAGTCTTCTTGGTTTCTGAAGGGTTGTGCGATGAACCTAAAATCTCTCTGATAGTGCAGCTCGTTAGGTTTTCCGCAAGGCTGGTCTTTGATTCATCTCTCTCCATTACAAAAAAATTTAAACCACTGCTGACACATATGCTCAGTTACTATGTTATCACTGTAAAATCCACATTTTCACAGTTCACAATTTTGACAGGCATCTGACACTTTGAGATCGAACCCGTAGCAAGCAAGCTTTTCCCAGGGATAGCAGGTAATAATGGATTATTCTATATATGTCTATTTCTATTAGGATGTTTATTATGGACAATTTTATGTCTAAAGGTGGGTTTTCGTTTATAGAAAACCCACAACTACAGACACTGGTGCCAGCAGATTTTTTCCACCCATGGGCGAAATATTAGTAACTACTGGCTCCACAATTTTTTAACTGCATGTGCATATGATATGAAAGGCTAGAATCATATAACTGTTTTTCTTAGCGTGAATAAGGGCAGGCCTTAAAGTGCAATATCAACGTCCTGAAACCCAAGCCAAACTAAGGTTATGCTAAGTACGAATGTTTAGGTAAGCATCAGTTGTAGAGCCTATTCACCACACATGGAGGGGTAATTAATACAAGTAGAAATCAAGTCCCAGAAGTTCCATCAGAAAGATTGCTAGGAGTTAAAAAAACGCGAGGTGGTGGTAATAGCCCTGGTGGCTGGTAGCTATCCAGGTCAGAGGAAAAAAGTAATAATATCATCTACCATAATACAAGTTTAACTATTGACTAAATTCAGGGAATCGAATATATCCTATAAGTTGTCAAAACAGAAATTTTACCTTGGGTACGGCATCAACAGATGTTTCCTCATTTAATAAATAAGTAGAAATATCATGATAAATTGTATTTTTAAACGGACTGAAGTCCAGGTCGGTTACTGAACTTTCCCATGATTTTAAATAATTCCAGACCCTTTTTACAGGCAAATAGCCACAGCTGCTATAATCGCTGAGTAATACGTTGAAGTTAGCAAAAGAATCCTAAAAGAAAAGAGTCAATATTTCTAAGTCAAATTCATATAAACAAACTACATACCAGAGAGTGGACATAGTGGATCATAAACATAGTCAAAAAATCATTTTCACTCTTTTCCAATTTTTTTGATTTGAGTTTATAAAGTATAGATGGTAGGAGTGGACTCAAACCAGTACCTGTATTTTTTGAAGCGTCAAAGAATTCCAATTCAATTTTATTTGAATCATTAATAGCCACTAAAATGTGAAATTTATTTTAAATTTTTTATTGTTAATATAACACAGTTTAAATCCAAAATTACCTTTAATAAAATGGTCGAGGTCATTTGTATGGTCGAAGATCTGGTCACCCTTTTGGTCATGTGCTCGCAATAGAGTATTGTATATGATATACTTGTTCTGGTATGCATATTCGAGGCTCTCGGTAAGAAGTTCTCCCAAAGCCTCACTTGGATGACTATTGACGCAGTGGACCCAAAGGTCTAGCTCGAAACCACCATCGGTGAAGAATTCAGTCTTAACAAACAGCTCTTTAAGAGCATCAAGCGCCAGGGCTTTAACATGATCCACAGGAGAATTCAAATTGGCACATATCAAGTTCAACTTCTTTAAGCAGCTCCCCTTAAATTTTACGTTTATGTTAAAATATAAAACAAAAATTTTTCAAATCTTACTTCTTTAAAAAGTTGGGGTTTTAGAATGATATCCAATTTGAGAAGTCGGAGGATCAACGAATTTCTCAAATCCAAATCTTCGTACGAATCCTGATCTTGAACAAACATCAGAATATTTTGGATGAATTGTATCCCCTCTTTATTATGCCTGTAAATAAATGTTAAGACAGTACCATATAAATTGTATAAAATCAAAAAGTACACATTTGAGTTAAATACCTGATTACTTCCAATAAATAAGGGGCTACACAATTTATCGACAAAATAGTACTAATGCCTAAATCTAAGGCAACAAAATTTTTATCCAAATGATCAGCTTTTATACACCCAAGCAAAAATTCTGCATTCAGTGAACCCTGTAAGAAGAACAAGTTTATATACAAACTAGTTACAAAAATAAAGCGTGTATTTATTAAAATTTCTTTTGGACAACACACAAATAAAAATTTCATGGAAATTTTAAAAAAGAAGCAAAAGTACTAAGTAAATGTGTGCATTCAATTAGAGTGTTTCTTGAGTGGACATTTATCAAGCCAAAAGATTTTTATAATTTAATTATTGGTTGGATTTCAAAAACACTGTCTGTCAAACCAAAACGATAAGAATACACAGATCAAAATGATTGGTTACAACTGAACTACAGATTCACAAAATAGTTAAAAACATAAAACTTATCCAACCGAACCATAATTTTTTGATGGTAGGTTTACATAAAATTTATTCAACCGAACCATAATTTTTTGATGGTAGGTTTAAATCTTAAAAAATCAGGAATGCTGTTGCATCACCCTTTCTACATTTTAAGGTACACCTATGGTTTTTCCAGTTTTTTTTATGATGTACCACCACTACGGAATGTTCTGAAAAATGGATTACTGCAGCTTTGGTTTAGCACAAGCGTTAAAGAACTTTGGAATAGAATATCTTTACAGGTAGACAACATTGCCTTCCAGGAAAATTTTTTGTCTGTAAAACATTTCATAAATTGCAACATCCACCTTATTTTGAATTCCAAAAAAGAGTTAGGAAATACCCACTGCAATTGGAATATCTAAAGATGATCTTATAATTGTCTCTTTCTTCCCTTTTTGAATTCAACATCTCACAAGACGGTGTAGGTGGAATCTCTATGACTGTTAAGGGGCCTGTCCTCTTGCAACAGGAGTGATATAACTACACTTCTGTCAACCACATTTAGGGGCTCTACACCACATCAGAAAATAGGTTAGTTTTGCTCTGAGGAATGGTGGGTCTGGGACAAATTTTCGCTAGCCTGTGTCGTCTTCACATGAAAAGACTCTATGGGACATTTAGCATTTTCAATAAATCATTTTACACCATTATCATCATCCTATAATTAAATATAGACTTTGAATGGAACAACTTGGTTATGTGATTTTAAATAAAGTTATACATACAGCAACCAAGTGCTGAGTGAGGGCATTGATAAACTGATGCTTCTTGGAGCCCAGGCTGTCACCTAATTTGCCGACTTTGTCAAATCCAACTTGTAGTACTCTATAAACAGCAATCCTCATTTCACTCGACGCAACCAACAGAGCTGGAGTTTTGCTCGCAAATTCTAAGATGGCGTGTGGTAGAAAAAAATTCTGTGCAATTTTGATAGCGTCTCTGCACGTTATTGAAGTGTGTCTTAATTCAAAGCCAGAAATCACCTGAAAATATTAAAACAAACACTTGTTCAGATTGAAATCAATAAAGAAAACTTTAAGCGGTAAATATTTAACTTAAAAAAGTATAGTCTTGACCAAGAATTGAAGTTTCATTTTAGACAATTGTTCTTTGATCTTTAGCCTTTAGTGGTATTTAAAATTGATTGTTAATAATTTTATAAGTTTACTCACCCTGGTCATTAGATCGATGGCTTTAAGACACTTCGACGATGTTGGAGTCAAATAAGGGGTGACAAGAGCAGAGAAAGGTTGTAAGAGTTCTGGGCAAGTCTGCAATATCTTACACACCAGCTCGTTCTTCAGTTCATCTTCCCATGGTTGGCCCAGGTTCTTAACAAAACAGAAAACATCACATTAAAGATCAAAGGAAAATGACAAAGTTAAAGTAAAAAAAGAAAAAACCTTTAAAAACTGTTTTAAAAGCTTATTCGTGTCACTTGAAGAAATTCCATGTGTCGGATCACTGAAAACGATGCCATACTTTGAAGAAGTACACACAGTCAACAATAATTGGTGTATTTGTTCTCTCACCAGCTTCAATTCTTCCTCATTTGTATCCTAGAAAAAAAAATTGACTTCAGATAGATTTATTTTTTGAATTATTATTTTTATTATTACACCATTTATATATTCATAAAATTTATCTTGCTATCAAAAAATTAATTATTTAATGTATCAGTTTAAAAAATGTTTACCTCAATAGTGAACTTCTTGTCGCCTTTCCTATTCTCAAGAAAGTCTTTCGGACACCACGAGTAGAGGGACGAAAGGTGTTCAAGAGCATGAGAATTAAACACATACAACTTTGAAGTTTTTGACAAATCTTTGTTCAAAACGATGCGCTTCTCCAGCGTTTTAAGAAATAAGACAACATTTTCGAATAAGTCATACTTCATATTTGGGAAAATAGAGGTTATCCAGCCTAAAACAAATCGTTTTAGTGACTTCACGACCAGACACACCTGAAGGCGGTACCTTTTTTTGAACACAACTTTGTTAAAACACCACTATCGTGATCGATCATAAGTGCCATTAAAAACTGCATATAATAGACACGAAGGCTATTCTTATCCGAAGGGTTGTAATGCTCAGTGATGTGGTTGAGAATCTCTTTTGTCAGATCGAGTGCAGATATCAGTTGGCTTGCTATTTGATTATTGACGCTTGCTAGGGCTGCAAGAAAATTTAAAAACTGAACATATGTCTAAGACATGCAGATATAATTTTAATACGTTTCAATTTGTACAATGTTTCGTCTCAGAATATTTTAAATAGTGTTTATTGTCTTTTCTATTTTCAGTTGTTTTTAGCCTCTTTCCAAAAATTGTTGTAAAAACAAACCTGTGAGGAGGTTCATTGTCGTCTTCTGGTACTTCATCAGCGTTTGGGGTGTCATCATAATCATAATTTCTCTCATATATTCAGAGATCAAACGTTTGCAATCATCAGCTAATGCAGCCTGTAGATTTGGAAATTCAGTTAAACACCTAGAATCATCAAATGTGTGTATAATATATATTCCCTAAGCTGATACTTTTCAGCTAAATTTCAAACAACATAGACATTTTTCGTTGTTATTTTAGTAATTAACTAAATAAATATTGAATAGCATATATATTGATAACTTGGTTTTTCCAATCATTATTGTCTGCCTATCTGTGCTGTTTTAGTCTGGCAGTGGTGAATCAGGGTGAAAATTGTGGCCACACACACCTCAAAAGACAGCAAAATTGTTTAAATTTAGTATAAGACAGGACCAAAATGATCAGAAATGACCAAGCTACAAGTTCATTATCCTACAGACCTCAAGAGAAAATCTCAAGGACTATTATGTCTTAGATAAATATCCAGATTATGAACTTAAAATTTGTTTAAATACTAAAACATGTTCTAATAATAGTAAGAATTTCAAAAATTTTCAACTGCACCCTTAAATGTTAATTTTATTGAAGGAACGTTAATATCTTACTTAATAATAACATGGTGAATCGCTGAGAAAATTATTATAGTCGATGATTTCCTGTTTGTGTTGAACTTAACCAATTCCTCCATCAATTCACCGACCGACCCTCCTTCTTTAAGATATTCGGCAACATGGTTGTAATTGTTGTCCTGCATAAAATATCTTCTGACAGCTTGAAAATAAAATAAAGCTTATGTTAAATAAGTTTTATATTATTCAATTATGAATAGGGTGACTCGCAAAACAGACCAATTATAACACAACAATTATGATGATTTACCTGAAAGGGATGTCGGTTCATTCAATTGCGCTCTGAGTTCTTGTACAAGCATCACCTTTTTAACCAAAGTGGGGTTGTCCTCATCAGACAGAAGTTCCCCATCTTCACTTTCCTCCTTTTCATCTTGTGCATTTTCATCCGCCTCTTCTTCAGCGATTTCGCGTGACCCTTCTTCTGCACTTTCGTCCAACTCTTCAGCTTTCCTCTTTGTCGAAAGACCCATTTCTACCCATAGAACATTTGACTTAATAAAAATCAACAAACATAAACAAGCTTCAAAACATATAAGTAGGGTCAATCTAGCACATAGATAGTTTTTAAAATTATCCCCAGGGTTAATTGACAATAAAAAAAAAAGGTTGTTCTTATACAAAAGACACAAGGGGTTGGCAGTAGCTGAGTCGTCAGGGCGTTAATTAGGTGAGCCTGTAAGGAGTGATGTGAGAGGATGGAATTATTTGAAGATAGGATTTCTATCACCTGCAAAGGAGTGAATGAATGAATGTGTCGGGATGGGTAGGTGGGTAGAGAGGTCAGCAGTATACATTGAATAAAGGAATACATTGAAAACTTCACTAGTTTTCGTGGTCCGCTTGACCAATTAATATCTTTCAATTAATTAAGGTTTTTAGTTGAGATAAAAAGTCAGCGTCACGAGCAGGATTCGAATCCACGACCTTCGGCTTGATATGCCGCTACTCTACTCTACAGCTCAAGTGGTAGAGTAGCGGCGTATCAAGCCGAAGGTCGTGGGTTCGAATCCAGCTCGTGACACTGACTTTTTTATCTCAACTAAAAACCTTAATTAATTGAAAGGGTATAACTTTTTTTCTGTCACATACAGGAATGTATTAAGGTAGCCATACACATAAAGGAAATCTTCAAGGAAAGCCTCTGGAATTTCTTCTACTGAACCTGCACCCACATATGTTGAGGATTTTCCTTAAGGGAACCTCAAGGTAAAGGCCTAGTTCTGTGAGTGGTGATCGTTGATGGTTGTTCTCACGGTTTGGGTCTCAAAGTGACAAAATAATTAATTTTTGTTCATGATCTCCCCCTTCCACTGCGGCCTGAAGGACACCTGTACACTTGCTTGGACTGGCTGAACCTTGAGAAAATCCTGCTATATATGGCTACCTTAAGTCACTCCTATAAAATCTCTTAATTTAAACGGCTTTTTAAAAATCTTTCTTTTCTTTAAGCTGTTTTCCAATGTGATCCCACAAGTGCTCGATAGGCTTTAAATCGGGCGATTGGGGTGGTCCGGAGATGCCTAGGCGCATTACTTAGTAGCCATTCATTAATTTTCTTAACCGTGTATTTGGGGTCATTGCCAAGCTGGAAATGCTGTCCTTTCTACACCAAATTTAACAGTAATTTCCTTTAAATTCTCTTTTAGAATATCGATGTAGATGTATTGGTCCATAATCCTATTGATTATGTTAATTGCAAACTCCTCTAAAACCCATACATCCCCAAATAAGCACCCCACCACCATGTTTGACCATCGATAGCTTATTCATTAATTTCAAGAGTTCCCCGGCTTATGCCACACTTTCTTTCTTCCATTGGACCCTGGATGAAATTATTCAATTTACTCTCATCGGTGGAAACAGTCTACCAAGATGCATCAGGCTGACTTAAATGCTCTTTAAAAAACTGGCACTTTCCCCTGTTATTTTTTTAACAGTATTTCGTACATTTGGGGCATAACTGATACAAAATAACTACAATTTTGGGGCTCTTGCTGATTAATTGGTGGTCACTTCTTTGAGAAGTTTTTAGACGGTGTTTACCATCCTAAACATGAAAGGTTTTCTGCATTACCGAGCTTCTTATACCGGGAGATGATGTCATTGATTGATGAGGGTCACTTATTAAAAATGATTTTCCTTCATTATTCAATCTACTTGGTGCTCCACTCCGAGTGAACTGTGATATTTCCATATTAAAGCTATTTTGTGTGGTGTTTATTGACCAAATTATACAAATACATGTAGGATGTGAAAAATGAATTTATACAATGATAGACATTTTAAACTCAATCAAAGTATTTGTACTCACTTTGAGTACAAATTTATTTTTTTCATATCCTACATGTATTTGTATAATTTTTTTTCCTTTGTTTTGGAATATTAAGCAAGAGTACAGACCTATGAAATATCAAATTCCATTTTTTAACATGACTGAAATTCAGAATCATAAAGCAATAAATAAATAACAAGTAACAAGAGCAATAAATATTGATCAACCAAAATAAGTACTAAAAGTCAAAAATTCGGTACGAAAACAACAACAACAAAGGATAAATAAAGACAAACAACAATGAACAAATAAAAGTGCAGACCTACTAAATAAATTACATTTTGACAAAACTAACAATTTGAAGATACAAACTTATAAATAAATAACAAGTAACAGATGTAATAATTAACTATCAACTAACTACAATAAATACTACAGAATAAATAAAGATCAAACACTCGGGAAGCCAATAGCCGTCCTACGAGGAGGGGATCCAATTTGTATAATTTAAACAATGTTTATAAATCCCAGGCACTGAAGATGATCTCAATAAAGTTCAAAACGTTGGCCCGATAAAGAAAATGTTTTCTAAACCTACATCACACCAGACCGCATCTCACGATCTCCAAATAATCATTGAAGCTTTTATCGTACTAAGTAAAACATGTTTGCTATTAATATAACTTTGGAAAGCAAATGTTTTCCTAGATGTTTCAAAACTTTTTTGCCTCTTTAAGTCTTGATTAGCGTATTCTAATTTATCATGCAAACAAATAACTTTCAAATTAAGTTGTTTATTTCCTAACGTTCAAATATTTAAAAAATAGATTATGATTTACAAAATTTATGTTTTTTTTATATCCAATGACCTGTAATAAGAAATTTGGGGTTCATTTTTTGGGCAAACCAGTAGTTGTTCAGACTTTTTTAGTATGGTAGTACTTCACTGATGGTGTACAGGGTTTTTACTGAGTGTATTTTACTAAATGTATTCAGAGACTTTTTTTTACTTAGTGTTGTTTAATTAATGTCGTTTTTGACACAGATCTCAATCAAAAACAGAAATTTTGACTAGTTATTGTCAGAGAAATGTGACAAAATTGACACACACATACGAATATACAAAAACAGAAACGCAAGTGGTCTAGAAGGGTAAAACAGACGAATGACAAAGGGAATAAAGAAAATGTAAATAATAATATTTTCACCTCAAGATTTAAACAGTAATTTTCTGGAAAAGCGCACGTGTGCTGTTTCAATTTTTAAAACCTTCTCGGTCCTTGCGCCTTGCGCTGTCTGATGAGTAACCACTAACCAGTGGTTTTTGCGGAGGTTTCCATTTCTCTGTCAAGACATGTTCGTTCTAGAGGCGATTTTCTCTTTCTAGTATCTTTTTACACACCAACATCCTATAAAATGGTAAAATGACGATTATTTTAAAAGATTTTACTCCCGGTACTCAAGGTAATTTAATTTTTCAGGCGAGCGAGGTGGATGATACCCTCAAAAGGATACAATCACATAAAGGTGTCATGGGCTTTATAGTGATCAACAACGAGGGTAAATAATTAATTTTATTTAGTCAATCCGTTTATAATAAACATTAGGTTCAATATACCTTCATATTTCCCATTAAAATACAAGTTGAACAGTTGCAGACAGAAAGGACTCAAAGACACATCTGTTTTTATATATCAAGGTGAATATGAGAGCTTCAATGCTCCTTGAAGAATTTGCTGTGATGAACCGGCTATTTTAGTCTTTAAGATGCGTTACAGCCTTACGTCATCTCTGTGACTCAACCTGCTTATATCCCTGACCTGTGAAGAAGGCGACAAATCCAAATATGCCCTAGGGCCAAAACACACATTTGTCTGTTTGGTGCAACCCAAGATGACCATTTTGGTATAAGGTGGCTCCAGACATGCGGGATTCACTGAATGCTGAGCAAAATTACACCGAATCCCAACTAGTAGGAGAGGATATATGTTCAGTTGTTCTCTGAACAACAATACTTGCTGCTTGCCATGCTGGGCTTATTGTCGGTTTTCTTGACTACTTCAAAGTGCATGAATATTCGTGAAGTAACCACACCCAAATCGTCCATATATTCGGGAAATCAACTGTAACTGTTGATTAAATGAGGGCAACACAGTAACAACAGTTTTTTATAATCAGGAATGGATTGGCCCAATGCAACAGTTTTGGAGTTCCTTGATGTTTACAAAACAGAGCCAGTAATTTAGAAATCTTCGCTTATGAATCAAACTTTAAAATTTAAATTAAAAAAATAAAATTAAATGTATATTTTTAAATTAGTTTGTAGCTACTGCTCAAAACAGTAACCACAGCTGCAGCAATGAGAGTTTCACTGTTGTACATCACAATTGTTAGTAAGTTGAGGACTTCACACGGCACTTGGCAAATAAATATTCGCTGTTTCTGCAACAACTAGGAGGTTGTACAAACCCTGCATGTGTGTTCACAAAGGCAGCTATTTGGCGAATGCCAAGACGAGCATCTCGAGACTCGGCAAATATTTAGCAGAATACCGCATGTCTGGAGCCATCTATAGGTTCTAGCAGGGATAAACCACTTGTTTGCTTCACTTTGCTCCAGGCACAATCAGTTAGCCTGGTGTTTTTTTGTGAGTTGTTTCAAACGAAGACAGCATATAAAATGTCCAAGTCTCATGCCTCTTATTTTCAAGAAATGACCGGCTGCTGATATATCATATAACCTTGTAGTGATATCTAGCTGGTAATTGTGGGTGTACTTGTGTTCCACGGAAAGAGAAAATTGTTATGGTCGGCCAAGTTCACTTGTAACTTTATAATGCAAATCCAGTCCTTTCTCATATATAATCTTAAAGAAGGGCGGTCGACAGTGTTTCCTTTAATATGAATCATTATATTTATAGGGGTGCCAATCAAAACCACCTTGGACAATACAACAACGGTACAGTATGCGGCATTGATCACCCAGCTTTGCGAGAAGGCGAGGAGTGCGGTAAGAGACCTCGACCCGACTAATGATCTCACATTTCTAAGGATGAGATCGAAAAAACACGAGATTATGGTTGCTCCAGGTAACTTTCATTTACTAGCCCTGATGGTCCAATTTAAAAAAAATATATATATTTGTATTCATTTCCAGACAAAGACTTCATGTTGATTGTTGTGCAAGCACCAACGGAGTAACAGCTTTTATATTATTAGTATTTTTAACAAGGTTATAAGCTGCTTTAATATCTTAAATATAATAAACACTTTTTTAATTATTTTTTTGTAAGCGTATATTACTAAATATAAGTTACAGTACAGCAGTACTTAATTTTCTTGCACAATTTTTGTAAATAATTTAATCATTATCTACTATAATGTACTATATAATCTAGTGAATAAATAAATTATATTAATTTATTTTATTATTAATTGAAAACCTCAACAAAAGTTTTGTTCATTTTTTTATTTTGGTTTTTTTCTATAAGCCTGGTAGAAGTTTAAAACTGATAGGGGAAACTAAAACTGTAGTCTTTTTAGATTTTAATTTACCATGTCTACAAATTATAATTTAATTATAGCAGCATACACTGAGGCAGCCTCAGTGAAAGGTTAATGTTGGTTTTGTGAGCTACGATGCCTGAGTCATCAAGGCATAGAGAAAAGTAATTTTACGGAGTGGTTTAACTTCCAGCTGCCTTGGGTGTTGCAGATGAGGGTCAGAGCCATTTAATAGTATTTTTTTACAAATGATTCCGAAATAATTGTACAAGGATTGTCGGAATTTGATTGCAGAACTCCTATCTTGGTAAATAAAAGTTGGACACCCTAAATACTTGTCCTCTACTGCGACTTTTTTTTTGGGGGGGGAGATAATAAACTGAGATACCAAAAACGTTCTGCAGCCGTTTCCTTCAAAAAACAACAGGGACAAAATACTTACTGCTGTCAAGCTCAATTCTCATATTGAGTGGTATTCCTACAAGCTGTCTATATGGAGCCATGAAATCCATTAAGTGGGAAACATCAAACAATAGACATATAATCCTTGGCCGGGAAGAAACTGTTCGTGTGTCAGCTTTGCATGGCCTATTCTTAATTGGGTGAGGATGGTCTCTCTCTACTTCACATATTACAAGGGCCATCCTTCAACCTCTGATGCCATTTTCTATTGAACATACTTTTTATTGCATTTTCAGTTTCAAAAGTGATAGTGGTGGTTAGGTCCAAAAGTTGTGTTCTCCTAGCCTTTTCGTTATCCTAACCTTTGTGTCAAGGGATACAGACAATCACCACTACTGTACCAAAATATCAGGTTCAGCGTATCTTTCCAACAAGAGGATGGTCAATGACAGGTCCATTACTTTTGGGCCAAAGCCAGTGTATTTGTCAGCCTATCATGGCCTATTTTTAACCAGAATAGGATAATCCTTTTCCAAATCAGACCCTACAAGGTCCACCTTTGTTCTTGATACGTTGGAACTTCTCTAACGATCCGGATGCTGACAGTGCCGTTTCCTTTCAATCATACTTTTTATTGCATTTTTAATGTCAAGAGAGCCGGATAGTGGCAGTCAGGTTCATAGGTCAGCTCTTCCAGGATGCGCTCCAGTTCAGATTTCTCCAAACGGATCTATGGAGGACCTGTCATGGACAGCAGTAACCTTGCTCCTAGAATCGGTGCAGATGAGGAAGGAAAGCCCCTATTATCTTAAATCACTGCAAGCACTTTTCAAATCATATACAATTATGCTGGGCAAACCCTACAGTGTGGTGGTAGCAACACAAAATAGATGAACTTTGCCTGTCTTAGACCTGTCTAAGAATAGAGTCAAAATCCGAGATACCAGATCTAATTTCCCAGGTTTTACTTTAGTAAATGTATGGCGTAGAAAGCTTGGCTAACACGACGAGACTGTCCTAGGCTGTAATTTCATTTCAACATAAGAAGTTTTGCTTAAAAAAATTGTAACGTATATATATATCAATTTATATTTCTCAAAACACTTACTAAACATTAAGAATATAAACGGTCGATATTTTAATTATTGTAAAAATGTATTTATTAGTATCAGTAAACTAATTTGCCATATTATACATTTTTTTGAAATTATTTTTACATAAAAGAAATTATAAAGCATTTCCTTTTTACTTGAGCTTCCTAACACCGAAGGAAACATTGCTAATATTACAAACTCAAACGGTTCTATAACAAATACCAACAGCAGTATATTTTATTAAAATATTATTTACAAACTTAAACATTATTTACAAACTAACATTGTTCATCAATTAACTGATCACAACTTCTGGAAAATCGTTGGCCTCGCATAAACTTAGTAATAGACAAAATCTCAGAATAATTAATGTCAAGGTATACAAACATAAGTTCTGGTAGTATATTACTTTTTTTATGTTAGTTGAGTTTTAAGTACTAATTACAAAGCATACGATGCTGACCTGTTTATTTATTTTTTTTATTATTTTTTATTTTTTTAATGTGAAAACAGATATAAGATCATTCTGCCCTTTTCAAGGAAAAATTTATATTTCTATGTACTTTCAAACATTATATTTTTAATTTAAATAAACAACAGTGTCAGCAGCAGCTATTATATGTTAAGAACGTTGTTTTAACATTTATATATATTTCAGTGTACTATATAAAATTTTTAATTATATTTATATTCTGAACTTTAATTTTAAACAGACTGATATTTTGGGATATATGTTTGAACAGCCAATAATTATTTTTATAATAAAAAATAATACATAGTACACAATATATACACATATATTTTTTTTTTGCAAGATACTTAAAATGATTTTTCGACTTAGTTATTAAATCACAGATTTTCTTATTTAAAATGGGCGGTGATAATTTAGAAATGATTTGAGCGCTGGTGGTAGAGGAAGAGCTTGAATCTTTTCTTTCATTATTACACTGTATAACGGAACATCGCCATCTTCTTCTATTTCCTTTTCATTTTCCTTGTTTGAACTCTGTGAAGATGCACAATCGCAGTCAGAATCCACATCCATCCTTTCCTCTTCTTTGTCGTCTTCACCGTTTTCTGCCGTCGCTGTATCATCACTAGCGACAATTTTGTTACGGTAGGGCTTGCCCGTTTTGACTTCTTCATCTTCCTCATCAATTGAACTAGAGCTGGTCGATTCGGGTGAGAAAGCCTTGTGAACCTGGGCATTGTCGATGTCGGGCACGACACCGCTGTCTTGCTTTTCCCGTTTCGGGATTTTAGAACGGCGTTCTGCAAGCGAAGATTCGCCGACTTCTTCGACCTCATCAGAATCATGGTTGTGGTCCACGTTCTGGTGGAAAACGTCCAAATCAGGAGAGACAATCCTATAGCAACGTCCTAAAACAATTTTTGCCATAATTATAAAAACATTTTAGTGTTCAACTAGATTAAGAACACAAGTGGTACTGAATATAAAATTTAAACTACATGGGTTTAAGTGTAGAAAAAAAAATCATGTTCAAAGGATTAAGTTGGCTCGGTTAAGCATTTAGTTTGACATTTATATTTCAAATATCATTGTACGTACATAAATTATTTTTAAAGTAGTACAACAAAAAATATGGCCAAAACAATGTCTACATAAAAAGTACATGAAAATTTCAAACTGTCCACTTTTTTGGCTAAGCAGTGTATATATAAACTTACGGCTCATTGTTGAAGCGATATCCATAACTGAGCTGATGCTTCTATAACTTCCTGGAAGAAGGATACTCCTCTCTTCTTCTTCCTCTTCGTCTGAACTTTGTAAAATTGGGATTATCAAATTTGGAACCACCTTTTGCCTTTTCTGAGCGTAATATTTTCTTTTACGGATTAAAATATTTGGAAATTCCTCCTTCGCTTCGTTCCTCAACTTCGCCCTTATAGAGGCACGGCAAATTTCTTGAAGGGATAAAGTGTGCAATTCAGCTGTAAAATTAAACAAAATGTATGAAATTGTGTTGTACTGTATCGGAACTTGTTATTTTGATATCATACGTAAATTGATGGTAGTAGTGTCGTTGGGATCTGGCGTTTGCAGTATGGAGAACGACACTGGCAAAACGTGTGTTACATTCCATTCAGTCTCAGATTTTCTTGTTATTTGTACTAACTGTTCATTTATCGGCATTACCAATATACCGCCAATCTGTAATGGAACAAATCAGGTCGATAAATATTAAGTGAAGACCTTGCTCAACTATCACATACTTTCAAAAGATTTTTCATGTAGTTTTCATGGTTTTCAGGACACGCAGCGCCACAATAAACTCTGTCATACTGACGGGAACCACTGCTTATGCATAAACTGTTTCCTAAAAATGGTAAAAATAAAGATGATAGGAAACATAGGAAACCCTAATAAATAATATAGATTTTTCAATAATTAATGGTGTAATAATTAAGAGATAGAAGTGTTATTTTTAATATTACATCAAGAATTTGTTTGTTTTAAATGAACTTTGTTTGTTAGTACAATTTAAAAAATATACCTGTAATGAATTGAGGATCACAAAATTCAAAACAGTCAAGCGCCGGTGATGTAGATTTAAATTGGCTAAGCTTATTGTAAGCATATTCAGTGACATCAGCATGAAGTTCTATCCCATGGTTTACACCATAAGGACCTAAATCCAATATAATATGTTTAAGTAAAAAATATTAAATTACACAGCTAAAAGAAATCTTGAGAGCCCTACCAAGTATGAGGCCGGCGACTGTGCTGAAATAGCCAGTTCCGGACCCAAGATTGAGAAAGCTCAAACCCGGAGCGAGCTTCAGACTTTCGAGTACCTTGCCGTAAATGCACGGCGCTGACAGATGTATGTTTCCATTCTTCCATGCCAAATCCTTGTATGCATTTTGAATACATTCGGGTAAAAAGTAAAACCCTCTGTCAACAGCTCGGAACGCAGACTCAACAATCGGAGTAGTGATGTAGTCCGCTTTCTTCAACTTGTCAATGAGGTCATCGTGGTCATGGCCAGCGCTGACAGCACTACCCATTTTCCTATCAACAAATAAGGACTTATTTTACATGTAGGAAACACACACAGCCTAAGTTTAGACAAAAATATGCAGCCGAAGACAACCGCTACAATTGAAGTTAGGAAAATTTTGCCAGAATTTAAGTATCCAGACTTGACAAGAAGCTCTTTATCATCTAATTTTCAATTTTATGAATAACATATCAATGTGAACTTTTATTTACTTCCACAATGAAGTTCATGAAGTAAAAAAAAGTTAACTTTTTGAAAAGGATGGATCTGCTCACAAACCTCCTATTAAAAAAGAACTTTTAAAACTTTATTATAAATTAAGACTTTCATGCTCGGAAATCAACAAACCATTCTGGTTCAATTCCCCATGCTTGAAATTAAATTTAACCACAAAATTTGTTTTTACTAAATTAAATAAAACAAGCTGTTCAACTCTTTCTCTCAATGTAAATATCATAAAATCATATAAATTACATAAATTATATAATCAAAGAGAAGAGGTTGCTCAATGTGTCCCACCTAATTGAAGGGTGCAATTCCTTGGCTCCATACAGAGAGCGCAGCATGCAGGAATGCCATCTAATTTAAAAATTGTGCTTGAGCATGGCAGAGTATTTGGGTCTGCTGTTCAGATTCTTGGAGGAAACAAAGTTGTTCTATTGTATGTAGTAATAATAGTTGTGTATACCTAGCTTGTGTTGAGAGTGAATGTATTTATTAGCGTGAATGTGTGATGTAAGAGAGTCGATGGTGGAATATCAATTACCCCATCGAACCTCAATTAGGTAAGTTGTGCGATATGTGAAAAGGAATATCTAGTACCCCATCACCCTAATTGAATGGATGTAAATAGGAGTGAATGTATTTAAGAATGAACGTGAGTACAAATGGGTTTGGAACTACATGTGTTTGGGTGAATTGTCCTAGCTGTTGAAAGCACTTAGAGCACAACCTCAGACGGATAAGATTGAGATCTGACCCCAGACTGTCTACACCCGGTGTGGGTGATTCTCAAATCTGCCAGCAGTTTACTGTAAATTACTGGAATTGCGAATATGAAACGCGAATAGGCTCAACTCAGCACATGTTTGTATGTAAATACACGTGGGGATTTGAGCCTACATAAAGCCAAAAAGACACAAAACATTTTTACCAATATCTTGCTCGTGTTAGGTTTTCCTCATTATTCTCTAGTAGATTGTGATAAATTTGATTATGAAACAAGTTAAAAAATTAATTTACCATTGATTAAAAAAAAATAAAAAAATACCTTGAATAAGAAAATTAAAAATATGAAGTACAGTGCACTTAAAAATATTTATAAAGACGATACAACTCTAATTAAATTTTACCCAGGAATTATAAACTGAAAATAAATTAGAAAAAATAAATAAATAAAGGCTTAAAGTTTGTCCCAAAAACAGAATTGATATTTTTACTCTTATTATTAAAAAATTTTAAATAAATATTTTCTATTTTCTTTATCTTAATCCCATCTTCTTATACTGTATGTTTATTTTATGTTTATAAAGAACCGGAACACTACTATCAATGAATGACCTCATTGCTCTATAGATTGTTTGATTTTTTCTCTACCCAGTAAAACATCAAAACAGGCTTTTTGTCCGTTTTTTTTCCCCCATGGAAGATAAGATTTGAATTATTTACAGTTACAATCACACCCATCTAGTCTCACCTTTCAAAGCTGATTATTAGTTATTCCAATTTACAAAAGTAGATTTTATAGTTTAGTCCGAATGTTTTAATATGCCTATTTGGGCGAGTCATCAGACAAGTCAAAACATTAAAGATAACAAAGGTACAATTGTGACATTTCTTCTTTAAGTCTGAAGAGTGATGATCACATAATTTGGTCATTTCGGCCTGCTTATCATTGTGGAAGACCAAAAGCAAAACTTATTCTGCTTTTTGCTATCTTGACTGGTTGGTCGGGGTTATAAAAATCCCACTCGTGACACTGACTTTTTTATCTTAACCAATACCTTTCATAAATATTAGTTATAAAAAGAATGCGGCAACATATTAGGAAAGTATAGGCACAAAACCCACTGACTGTGAACTAGCAATGACAGCAAGACTTAGTCGGCCGCAATTGTAAGGTACAATTGTTATAATTGTTGAGGTCAGCGGGATGTTGAAACTTTAGCTTGGTTTTTTCTGATCATTTTGGTCTATCTATCTTCACTATCTCAGACTGTCAGATATGTTCAAGCATTTCACCGATGGTTGATCAGGGTAATAAGAAGAGTGAAGCAACGTATTTAGAAATTATAGTAACCAAACCCACCATGGTGGAGTAACCAAGCCAGCGAGGACAGACAGCCCAAATGGCCAAGGTATAAAATGTACAAACGTACAATTGTAAAATTACTAGGTGCTGAAGCTTTAGCTTGGTCGTTTTCAATCATTTTAGTCTGTAAATCCTCAGTCAGATTGTCAGAGACATATTCAAACATTTCACTAATGTGCGGGGGGACCGCGGTAGCCGAGTGGTTAGCATGAGACTCTCACGCCGCGGTCGTGGGTTCGATTCCCACCGTCGCCTCTGGCCCTTTTTTCCCGATAACCCCCAATTGAACAACATATATAAGAATTCGTCATGGCTGATATGCAAAGATCATAAGGCCAATAAAAAATAAATAAATAAATAAATTTTTGATCAGAGTATAAGAAGAGGAGGCAACACACTAGAAAATTATATTAACCAAAACCACCAGAGCAGTGACCAATACAGTACATATAGACAGATCAAATGGCCAAACTGTAAAATGTACAATTGTAAGACTTTTTGAGTTCTGCGGGGCGGTGAAACTTAATATTGCTTGTTTTGACCATTTTGGTCTGTCTACTCTCACTGTCTGAGACTTTCTGACACATTCAAGCATTTCACTATCTTCAATGGTTGATCAGGGTTAGAAGAATGGTGAGGCATCTTATTACAGCTTAACATATAAGATGATGAAAAGCTTAAACGTGTCAATTGTTAAACGACACAATCACTTTCTTGAGAACACGAAAAACTTGTACTTAACATTTGACAACACGACAAAGAGCAATAGTATTTTAATTTTTTCGTTGTAAAAATATATTTATAGGAATTTAAAGCAATCTCGATTCGAAAGGAGTCAGTTTTGGGTCGATACATATAGACTTACAGCTTGTAAACCTTCTGGTATTGAAGGCCAAGGAACCGTAAATAAAACATCAAACGATTAAAAGCTATTGCGACTATTACGATTATTAATAAACACGTATTGTCGAATCGATAAAAGTCCACCCTCGGACGTAATAATATATATTCCAATCTCCTTACTTTTTAGTCCTTGGTGGGCCTTCGGACGAAATTCACCGCGTCGCTTCGTCGGAAATTGAATCCGATCGAGAAATTCCAAGAGATCCTCTGGCTAGAGGCGGATGGAAAAGTGCATTCCAGCCGTTCGGCTTTAGTTCCTCAGACCGGAGATGCGGGCAGAGCGGACGTCTAGAGAAAAGAGAAAAAGAGAAGAAACAAGGCGAACAAGGAACAATTCGACGTTACAATTCGATGGAGAAGAGCTCGCGGCCCAAACGACGAACGCGAAAACCCGTCGGAGACGGAGTCAGTGACATATCAACAGCTGTTGTCCGCCCCCACCAGCGAAATCCCATCACGCGCCTTCATTTCTATTATTTACGCCCTTTCTAGGATAAAACAGTTCGATTTTCCTCGTCTTATCACAACTTCCTACTATTTTCAATATTCTTACACTTATAACCGTCTCTAAGATCAATTTTAAAATTTCTTGTTTGTATAATTTGTAGTTGAAGTCAACTGACCCTCCAGAACAGGGGTGCTCCACGCCTTGGTCGACATTTTTTATAATTAATATAGTTGGATTATGCTGTTCAAAAAGTTGAAAATAAATGGCAAGAGACTTTCCATCAACTGTGTTTATTTTATTTTATTTTATTTTTTTTTTTCATTTAAGAGTAGATATTTGGATTTTTTCAAAAGCTTCCAAAATTCAAAAGAAGAGGCAGACTTGTGCATTAATTTTCAATGCCTAGCTTCTTACATGTCTGCTAATTCAACAGTTTCCTAAAAATGCATGAATAAAAGTATTTGACTGTATAAAAATTGAAATTAGTTGGCAAAAGATGTTCCTTCAAGTTTTTTTTCTTTATTTTTTGTTTAAATGTAGATATTTTGAGTTTTTCGGTTTCCAAATTTCAAAAGAAGCAGGCATGGGCATTAATTTTCAATGCCTGGCTTCCTATATGATTTAATTAATTAAAAATGTACTAATAAAAAGCGTTATGCTGAATTAAAAGTTGAAATTAAATGTCCAGATTTATTTATTTATGGAATGAAATCCACTATAAAAAAAGACATTTTACAATAACAAAAAATATAATAATATATGTAAAAATACAAATAATATATATAAAAAGAATAAGGACGTATATACATGGTAATAATATAAATGATAAATATAAAAATACAATTAAAGAGTAAAAACTGAACAACAAAAATGAAAGACATAATTACTAACCAAATAAGGCAGAGGAAACAAAATAAAGCTGAAAGACAATTGAAACTACAATAATTAGGTACATATTTAATGAAAATAATGCTCTTTGTAAATATATAATAAGACTAGAGTGCGAGAATTAGTTGAACCAGTAAATGAAATAAATTGTAATAATTTTGTACAGTATGAAATATAAAAGCATTCAACTAAGGTTGTAGGATAAGGTTTTTCACAGATTGCACAGAACTATTGAAGAAGTCAATGCTATTGCAGATGTTGTTACTCTTGATCGTCATTTTGTGTAGAGGAGAAGAGAGCATGCAGTTAGAGCTTTGGAATTCAATATAAAATAATTTATGGGTTTTAAGAGAGTGTGAAGGGACATGTAGCTGTAGTTGAGAGAGGAGATAAGGACTATCAATGAGATTGTTTAATAATTTAAATACAAAAACAATATCAAAGTAATCCCTTCTTAGTGCCAATTTGAAAAGTTTAAATTCAGAGCGGATTCTTACATGTCTTCTAATTCAATAGTCCTAAAAATGCTTTAATAAAAAGTATTATACTCTATAAAAAGTTGAAATTAGATGTCAAGATATATTCCTTCGAGTGTGTTTATTTCTATTCTTCAGTAAAATGTATATATTTTGATTTTTTTTTACAGTTTCTAAAATTCAATTAAAGAAGCAGGCTTGTACATTAATTTTCAACACCTAGCTTCTTAAATGTCTGCTATTTCAATAGCATACTAAAATGTATTATTGAAAAACATTATGCTTTTAAAAAAAGATGTCAAGATACATTCCTTCAACTTTGTATATTTTTACTCTTCGTTTAAGAGTAGATATGTATTTTTTCAAGAGTTTCCAAAATTCAATTAACAAAATAGACGGGTATTAATTTTCAATGCCTAGTTTCATACATGCCTTCTTACGTGTCTGCTAATTCAACAGTTTCCTAAAAATGCATTTTAAAAAAGTATTATGCTTTATAAAAAGTTGAAATTAGATGTCAAGATATGTTGCTTCAAGTGTTTTTATTTCTATTCTTCAGTTAAATGTAGATATTTTGATTTTTCCGATAGTTTCCAAAAGAAGAAGCAGACTTGTGTATTAATTTTGAATACCTACTTCTTACATGTCTTTCTAATTCAACAGTTTCCTAAAAATGCATTAATAAAAAGTATTATGCTTTATCTACGACAATGAACCCCAGTAGGAGGTTCCAATTGTATGCAGGGTAAGGATCCTAAACTTTGAAAATTTTTCAACATAATATAATCCAGCATATCATTATAATTCTGAATAATTTTTATTTGAAAATTTGGTGGAAGATTGCTGAATTGTGTTTCCAGTTCCAGATACATCTGCTTACCACCCATCGCATCACATGCCTTGCTGCTATTTTCCTTTACTTTCGTAATAATTTAGTTTTAGCTTTTATTATTTATACAAATATTAAAAAAAGAAAAAAATTCACATAACTGAAGAACAAACGATGTTCAAACATCAAACATAGAGCATAATTGTAAAAACAACCTACCTACATCTTGTAAATCAGACCTAACTAATGTCACAACAAAAATTACTTAAAATTTTGATATTTAATATAATGTAAATATTTTGATAAAAAATTAAAATATTAAATTTATTCTTATAATGTACTATTTGCAAAACTAAGTCAACAAGTGAACATAATCTTTTGTAAAAAAAAAAAAAAAATCGTCTAAACAGAAATATATAATAAAAAAAAAGTCTAATGAAGGCTGTATAGATGGATTGAAAAATACACCAACTAATTACTCCATTTAGTTTTAATGTAAACATTTGGATTAATAAAATATATAAAATAATGATCAGTAATTTTGTAAAACTAGTTATTTTTACTGAAACTGGTATTCAATACACTGATCTGGCCCATATATATAATTTCTTCATAACCCATATAAACTCTTTATAGTGTTTTTACATAAAAACTAATGAGAAAGAAGTTAGACATAAATTAATGAGGACTTAAGCATACCTGGCCTAGTTATTTTAACCTATTTTGTTGATTTCTTGGATTCAACTTGAAAAAGTCATGTACAGTTCACAAAATATCGGAATATATAATTATAAAATATTGTTAAATTTAAAAATAACAAGAAACACATGGCAAGCAAATAAATTCAACATATAAGTTAAAACTGGAAACTTGTACAAGATGATATGAGTATTTCATTAATACAAGTAATATTGTGCTTTATTGGTATAACAACAAATTACGTCTGTCAGAGGCAGGAAAGCGAGAACGGATAGTTCAGTCTAGCCTAGGCATTGGAAGAAAAACAATAAGAAAAAATCCAGCTGAAAGCCAGTCAAATCAGATTTGTATCCACTTTGATTTTCATTAACATAAATTATTTCTGTTGTGTGGCCCATTTTCATTTATGGTTCTTTTGTTTGGTATTTTCTGTTTTGGTTATCAAGATTGATTATTTTAATTTTGCCCTTCAAGCCCATATTACTCCCATAGTATCTAATTATTCTTATATTGTCAGTTTGTAAGCAAAGGTTCATGTTTTGTTGTATTATATTTTTTATATAACGTTTTTGATTCATAAGGAAATACATTTTTGTTTTTAAAGAAACAAAATAGAGGTGTCCCTCTGCGATTGCGTTCATAATTTATTCCAAACAAAATTCCTTTGATTTTGAGGCAGATCACCGGCCTCAACGGGGTTAATCAAACCTTTAAAGACAGAATACACTCATTCCTTAAAGGACTCACAATATTGGTTACGTTTTTAAATTTTTCAACTGGTAAATCTACCTTATTTTGTTTGAAACACACATTTGCACAGACACATGGTCATTTATAGTCTTATATCAAGTTATACTGGCAACAATTTCAATTTTTTTTAAATTAACATTTATTGTTGGATTGTAAGATGGTTTGTTGAGAATAACTTAAAAAAACTTGGAAAAAATTATCGCCAGGCCTACCTTAATTGTTAATGATATTGCACCAAGAAGTGAATCAAACAAAATCTTACACTTTTCAAAAAATTCCTAATTGTGTAGAGGCTGGTGAAAGAGACATTGACGAATGGATGTCATGAAACAGACAATTCACAACTTTTCTCATAGGAGGAAATTATTTCAGAAGTTAAGAGAGAATCTCACAATGAATCATCATGTAGTAATGAATGTGACTATGTTGTTTCACCACCAATCGCATGTAGACTGCCAAAGCTTTTAAAACTACTGTAAGATATGCTGTGCAGCATGATGAAGCTGTTCCAGCTGATGTTATTTTTTAAGACAATGGCTTTGAACTGCAGCTTCTGCTAATTATTTGTCACTTCAACAAACAATAAAAACAAACAATAGAAAAAAATGAATGAGAAACTTTTTGGTTAGAAAACTTTTTATTTTTCGTCGATTTTAGTTGCATTTCAAAAGCTTTTTATTACATGTTTACATTTGTACTAGTCACTTTTATTATTATTATTTATTTACATGAGTCTATTATGGACTTTTACCCTTAATTCTCATAAATATTAACTTTAACGGTCATTGAATGTAGACTTCTGACCCATTTTTTATTTTAGGTTAGGTTCTGATTAGGCGGGTTATATTATTAGGGAATTATTATTTTATTATTAGGGGACTATATTGTAATTTAATGTGGGTCTGCATTTACATTTCATCATGTATAAAATCAGGTTTTGTATTCGTTTCAAACCATTCCTTGTACACCGACACCGGGTCGATGTTCCAATGTTTATGGAAAGATATTGGTTTCTCAACTTGAAGGTAACTTTCTGCGTAATCTGTCGGTCTTGCCTGAAATCAAACAGGAGTCAAGTATAAAAAGTAAATAAATAAAAAGTTCATCGGTTTGAGTGATTTGTATGCCTTACTTGATGGAATAATGGCGAGTGTATTAGCGGTATTCCTAAGGAAGATAGGCACATTCCAAGGACCATGTCATCGGGGCTGTCAACTGCTGGACAGTTGCAGTGTTGAACTATATCAAAGAGAACATCTACACCAAACGCAATACCTCCACCGCCTAAAACAATCAAAATTTTCCGATAATTTCCATTTCCAGTTAAACTTTTGAACATTTATTGCAACCAAGCACACACAAGGATATATTTTTATGTTGGTCACATTTGTCAGATATTGTAGAGTATAACATTTCTCAGTTAAACAAAACCGATGGTCTGTTTTACAAGTGTCAAATTTCTAAAAACCAAGAGGAATAGTGAGATGAAACGTAAACTGAATATATTACATGTTCATAGCATCTAGTTGTAAATGAAATATTCAGGTAGTATACTGCACCCTTGGGAGCTATTGTATTCCCAGTTCAGTACCTATAGCACTGGGGGAGTCTGATTTGTATTTGCTACTCTAGCAGTCCTGGGTTCAAATCCTGGCATAGCTTTGGATTTTTTGTAATAATATGGTACAAGTAATGTAAAATGGTTTGCCTCTCATCTGTGACACCCAGTGGGTAGTAGAATGTTAAGCTTCCTGTATGATGAAAGGAATTTCTTTATTTTTACTTTACACACCGGAGAGGTCTGGTCATCAAGAAGTTTTTGGATAGCCCGGTTTCAATGGTTGAATTTCTTCTACGGTTAAATTGTAAGTCCTCCTGTGAGGAAGTGTAGCTGTGTTAAGGGTCTCTTCTGCTTCCTTGCAGAATCTACACATACCATGCTGAATCAGGCCAATTTTTTCTTCAAATGCCCATTCAGTCTGCAGCGTCCAATTAAGAATCCTGTTTGGATTTGAACTTTTTCCTGCTTCCTTTGATGCTTGTTGCTTCTTTTCATCTGAATCTCGCTAGAAGGTTCTTGGATTGTCTGTGTCCAATGATTAAATTCCACTATTTCCTCATGATGGTGTGAATCCCTATGCAACAGAAGGGCTCAGGACCTATCAGCGGTATATCTTTATACAGCCCCTTTCCTTGCAAGGGTGTCTACTCTTTTTTCATCTATTCCTACATGACCTCAGACCCAGCAGAGAATATCTTTATTCTGCTGCCTAATTTATTTTAGTTTTGCAATTCAGCACCACCTTTGAGCTAATGAGATTTGAACTTAGGCTCTGAAACTGCCTAAGTTGTCTGATAGCCATCTGACATGATAACTATTGGCTTGGCAAGAAAATAATGTCTCTTTTCAATTATAGAATTATTAGCTCGATATTTACATTTTTGTTTATATTATTTTGTTTACAAATTATTTTTTCTTCTGTTTTCAACTTCTGCCAGTATGCTCTTCGAATGTTTTGAGTGTAACACCAAGATATTCCTTTGATTTTCATTTCTATCACAATATTGTTGAGTCATGTTGTTCATAGCATACCTGAAGGATAATTGTATCCCATTGATGATCTTACATTGTAGCCGTATCTTTCTCCAACAACTGAATCCATAGAAAAACAAGACAGCAGAGAAAGTAAACGATCAATCCTGCAAAAAATTACACCAATATTAAATAATAAAAGCAAGCCTTAACTAAGAATCTAGGTGTGATAATTTAGAGTGATAGTACCATAATATTGGACTTTAACATGTAATAACAAAGGTTCATTCTGTTTTTAAATTAATTTAACATTATTTAGTTTCTAGCCATAGTTTATTTGCACAATAATCACATCAGACAATAATTAATTGAAGTTTGGGCAAGGTATGCCTTAGTTTCTATCCAGACTTTCCTACTATTATGTAATTTTAATTTATTGCAAGTTGATGCTCAGTTGAGATATTTTTTCCGCATACAAATAATACAAAATATTTATAGTGTAATCTTAAGATAAAGGCAAATAGGAAAAACACAAAGGAACAATAGTACTACCAATTTAGCCCAAAATGTCTATATGTCTGTATGTCAACCTCCCATGGCATATTCTTAAAACAATATGTCAATTACCCTATAATTGTATCATCATCAGCTAATACTATCCAAACGACATCTTTTAATTTTGTGGTTACTCTATTTAAAGCAATACTCAGTATTTTCATTGTTTTTGCACAATGCCCTCTTTCTGTGTTGTTCACTCCCACAGCTGTAGTCGGGACAGCCTGGTCTGTAAATCAAACATTACTAAAAAATTAAATTTAAACAAAAAATTTCCAAATAAAATTACCATTGATATCGCTAAAAAATTCAATGTGGGTGGCTTCCTGCCCCCAAGTTCTTTTAACAATATTTACTCTGTCTTTGTGAAATTTATGATAAGTTTTAACAGCAAAAAATAGATTATCTTTGGAAAGTCGGGGTTTCTAAACAGGAAAAATAAATCAATATAACTCAATGTTTGAAAGTTTTTAGAATCTCAAGCGGAAGGCAATACTTACACATATTGAGTGTGATTTTGGATACGAGGCACATTCTTCAGCTTTTTTTGCACAAAAAATATTTGAAGCATTTATCAAAGGGTAATCCATTCCAATGGCCATCGCCAGCTCGTGTGAAGGATCGATTGAGAAATCAGATTTTATTACATTTTGTGTTGAAACAAATCTTAGAACAAAATCAAAACAAATTTTAGTCAGACTATGTAACTATCAAGCATAAATAATGTTTATGTAGATTTAGTATACTTTGAGAGAAGTGGGGTTGAAATTGCAAATCCTGCACTGAATAGAGGATATTTGAAAAATTTGGGGTTTTCCGCAAAAGCAAAATGGTGGATGATGCTTGGTCCCTGGTCGTATAGCCCATAGCCAAGCCAAATACTCTTCAAAGAAAAAAATAAAATTAGCAATGATATAAAATTGTTTAAAGTCAAATTAACACCTTTTTTGGATTGTATTTTTCCAATCCTGCTATTAACTGTTTTAGATTAACAACTGTCGAATCTTCACAAAAATAAAACCATGAAACGCTGCTTGCATGTTTTTTCAGACTGAAAAACAAATGAACAAACAATTTAAATTGTGGTATTATCATTTAGAAGAGATTAGGATAATCTTCTAGCTCAATATTGCTTTACTATCATTCAGTGCAATCCACAATTTTTAATGATAATTAAATTCAGTCATTTCGTGGTCCGCTTGATCAATTAATATATTACTATTAATTAAGGTTTTTAGTTGAGATAAAAAAGTCAATGGCACGAGCGGGATTCGAACCCACGATCTTCGGCTTGATACACAGTGGTAGAGCAGCGGCGTATCAAGCCGAAGATCGTGGGTTCGAATCCCGCTCGTGCCATTGACTTTTTTTATCTCAACTAAAAAACTTTAATGATAATGTCAATATTAATTAATTCAAATTTTACTCACTGAGGTAGAATCGGTATCACAGTCCAAGCACCAACGTAATTCAGATCCCTCGGTACTATATATACATAAGGAATTTTCTAAAAATTGAAATAAAAATTTATTATCTATTATACCTTATCATAATTGAATTTTAAATCTTACAATCTTACCTTTTCTTTTGCAGATTGTTTTATAATATCAACTTTCAATTTTTGAGCAATAGATGAGTGATAGGCATTTTCTTGACTTAATATCGTTATCACAATTTGTCCACTATCTGAAAACGAAAATTTATGCCAATTTATTGGAATTGTACAATTACAAGTAACACACATTAAATAGAAAAATAAGGGCGTGTTTTAATGTTCATAAGAGAAATTTATTCTATTTCAATTGTATACTTTAGTTGAAGCCGAAAAATGTCCAAGTGAAATATAAAGCTAGTGAGAATAGTTTAATCCAGTAAATGGCCATTGTTGATTAATATAACATTTTAAAAGTGTTGAATGCCTTGTTAATCCAAATTATTAATTATTAATAATAATTAAAAGGGGTAGATAACACGAGGAGAAAGATGAGAGGAAAAAGGATATCCCCCAATTTCTGAGCTTACAATATCTCATATTAAAAAAGTGGGGGGGGGGGAGTTCAACTTGTATCTTCAACCAAAATAGTCTATAAGTTGATCGGCGCCAATCACCCTGGTCTGACTGATTTTGTCTGTAGTCCTAGGGGCACAACTGGACAAGAAATATTGATCTTTTCAGATTTCAGTTTTAAATTTTAGACCTTTGGTACAAACATTGGTTAACTTTAACTTTAAAGTTAAAAAAAAAAAAAAACCAGTCCAGCCTGCAGATGCTGGGACTAGAAGGGAAAAGGTCATCCTTACCAGCATCCAAAGGTTGCTCATAGATTAAACCTATATTGGATCACACTACTTATGGGATGAGACCAAGTTGGTGCCTGTTGTGTAGGGAAATTATCGCTGTAGAATCCAGTTTTGTCCCGAGGCTGAAGAAATGTTCTGACAGAAACAAACCAAACCACTTCTTGAATTAACAGAAAAATCTTTCAATTAATTAAGATTTTTAGTTGAGATAAAAAAGTCAGTGTCATGAGCGGGATTCGAACCCATGACCTTCGGCTAGATACGCCGCTGCTCTACCACTTGAGTTATCATGACTTCAATCCACTCGGACACCAACTTCACATCTCAACCCCACCTTCTGAATTTTCCCTCCTTTTTGCCAAAAATGTTGAACGTTTTATATTTTCCCAAAAGGCTTGAGTCACTATTACTCTACATATCCTTTGATCTTGAGAGTGCAAGGGATTATTTTAATAATAATTAAAAAGGACGAATTATAGGAAGAAAGGAAAAATATGGTGGTGAGATGATGGGGATGCTATGATGATGAGAGTAAAAAATCAAATAGAGATGTAGTCCTCCTCCAATGTACTACAATTTATCTTCTGGCAGAAACTATAGAAACCATTGCTGGAACCTAGAAGAAAATTAATAACTGGACATTTTATATTTTCTTCTATGGCTTAAAAATCACTACTACTATTGATTTTCGCGTCTATTGAGTAAACTACTCACATACCAATATTGGAAAAGAAAACAACCTTTGATAGATGCTTTCAACAATTTAGCGTCTGATAAAACATTAATTGAATCCTCGTGCATATGACCTTATTTTTTTTAGGATTTTGAATATATTCGGTTATATTATGTAAACGGTTCAGAATCAGACACTGGACTCTGGAATAGAAATGACTCAGCACGTTACTACAATTTCTCGAATAGTGAATTGTAATTCAATGGAAAGGAGAACTAATTACCAGTGTCCCACGATGCGGGGTAAGAGAAATAGTAATGGATTCTACCTGCGTACGACACTTTTCTAATCCTCGCCAGTGGACGGGCCGTGGATTGTACGATGGTTCACCCTGCCTTTAACGAGCCACGTTTTCAATTAATTTCCACGGCACGATTTCGTACCGTCTAGTTATATTTCAACGCAGTTCTTAACCGCACACGCCAAATCAAGGAGTTATAATCGGATTTACAGAAGGCCGGGGCCCCATCATAAATAATACCAGGAAAAGATTTGTTTAGACGGTACAATTACTCGTACGGAAAAATAGATTTAATTTTGAAAGCCTCTAAAGAAGAAGAGTTAAATGCCGTCCTGGGGCTTCCAACATTTAATTACATATGTATCATTTTAATTTGTCAGACGATTCGACTTCTTGTCATATTTAGTTCTGAGTCGGTATAAGAAGGTTGAGACATCAATACAAACCCACCTATTGAATATGGCGAGAACCGAAACGCGTCTGATAGGACATAGATAAAAAAAACGAATATAGGAGAAGACAATGGTCAGAAACGACCAAGCTGCAAAATACAATTTGAATATAACATTGCCTTAGATCATGATCAAACAAATTGGCCATCCCCTCACTGAGAAATTGCTTCTTGCAATATTAGCTAATAAACCTATCCAGCTGTACGCTTGCCCAGCATGGAGTTACACGTGCGAATCGACCATCCAAAAATTGCAAGTGGTCCAAAAGAAATGTCTAACATTTATAACCTCACTACCTCGATACACCAAAATTGGCCTCGTCCGAATTAAAGCGTCTGTCCAAGAAATTTTTTATCTCTCCACCAGCAAGACCACTACTTGTAGGGATGTAGTGTGAATATTAACTTTCCATCAAAACTTAGAAGGATTAAGCACAATACATAAATCTAGGATCTGTGATATATTTATTGTTTCCTCTACCAGAGCTGTGATACTATAAGACAATTTGTAATAATTAAATTACTAGTTATTCAGAAATCGTGAGATGCAGTCTGGTGTGATGTAGGTTTCAGAAAAGCATTTTCTTTATCGTGCCAACGTTTCGATCTTTATTGAGATCATCTTCNTTGGCACGATAAAGAAAATGTTTTTCTGAAACCTACATCACACCAGACCGCATCTCACGATTTCTGAATAATTATCGATTAACGGTCACTAATCACCACACATTTCTAAATTACTAGTGTTGCATTGTTCTTGTTAATCTCATTCATTTTTTTATATTTTTGTTCATTCATTTCTTAATTGTTATCCTATTTGATACTTAGTGCGTTTTTAAGAAAATTTTTGCCACTATTTACTTGGTTGATTAATTAAAAATAATAACAAATTAGGACTAGGAAAAAGTTTTTCAACAAGTATTTTTTTAAAATAAATGTTTATTTATTCATTTATTCAAAATGACCAATAATTCAGAAATCAGAGGGTTACGAAGAAAGGAGGCTTAATTACCCATTAAGGTAATTAATTACTCACAAAATTAAACCTTTTATTTGATCAAATCATAAAAACCACCCGAATCGTGGTTAAAATTTTATAAAATTTAAAACAGAAAGGCGCAGCTTATGATGAAAAATGACCTGATGTGGATAAACGAACAGGGTTACGCCTTTGAGCTATCTTTTGGATAAAATCGACGCTCGGCCTACGCGTCCCACTTATTAATTTTGTATGAAAAGACTCCTATTCGCTGGTGAATTTAAAAAATTGTACATAGCCCCACTTGAAAACGGGCGGTGGTCATAAATCAAACGTCGGCTCTTGCCTCCCCTGCGTAATATATTAAAGAATCTGGAGAAATTCTCCAACCGGATGGAGGTGAGGGGGCTTAATCTTCTTAGGATTCGGTTCTGAATTTCCCTGGTTTCGACCAAAATTGTTACAAGCGTAAATGTTAGCTTTTCACCTTCGTAACAGGCGATTTCGAAAGATACTGTATGCAATTTACGGAAATTGCAGCAAGTTCTCATGCTCTTATTTTTGTGTAAGTTCTTCTTGCGGTCTGCGGGGTGACGAACCTGAATTTTGGTCCTGTTCATCTTGGCCTGTCGGTTTCAACATGTTTTCGCTGTTTTACTCAGTCAGATTCCCTTTCGGCTTTTTGCCGTCTTCAGTTGGATTTTTGTTTAGTCGAGTCCTTTTTTATACGTACGTCGAAAACATGTAAGGAATTTGTCGGTGTTTTTTCCCCTGTCGGCTTCTTTGATGCATTAAGTCTGGTTGTTTTTTTTTTTGGCTTTTCCAATCTGACCTTTTTCTTTTTTAATTTGCATAGTGTTGTATGTGTGTGAGTCGTTGATTCGTGTATTCATGAACTTTCCTGATTGAATGTGTTGTTTGTATATTTTTAGGTTTTTAATTTTGTCCATTTTTTGCCCTTTTAGTACGTTATCATAGTAATTTAGATTGTCTACGTCATGGTGTTGTTGGCGGTTTGTTTTTTGGTCTGATCAGCATGATTGCATGTTTTATCTTTTAATTTTTTACCTGTCTGTGAGGTGTATTTTTTCTCTTCATTTTCCACGAAAAATAAGGACATTAATGTCGAATTGGTGATGATGAGTTGAACCGGTGGAACATTTCAACGACTTGTAGCATTGTAGGAGTATCAACTAACTAAATGATGCTAAATTGTGCAAACCGAAGAATAACGAAAGAAGAAAGTTTATGGTTGGTATTATTGGAAGAACATGCCGACCGATTTTCGTGCATCGACACTATGTGCTGTTCCGTTTGTTTCCCAGCATTGCCTATAAACGACACGCATTATTTGCATCTGTATACCCAGTTTGGAATTCCTTCGATTTTTATTTTATAATTAATCCATCCTTAATCATCGAGGATGTTGTGAGCTTTCAGTCGGAAATTAAAATCAAACCGTCTGAATTTTTTTCCATAAGTAACAATCAATCACAAATTATTATCAGAATTATCAATCCCGCGAATAAAAATAGACTCAATTTTTGGAAGATTGATAGTTCAATTTCCAGAAATCACGGTGTTTATTGATCCACAAGCGTCACCTGCTAGAGGTGTCGGTTAACATTGCAAAAATAGGACCTTATTAGTTCCAAAATAGCACACTTGCGTCACAAAACATCTTGATTTTAACGTTAAAGTAAACTTATAAAAACTGTCTATATAAATGTAAACCAAAACAGGAAAAAGATAAATTTAACTGTCGAAGAGTCAACGAAACGAAGCCGTTTCATGAAATAGTTAATAGTTAAGTTTTTAAAGTTGATTTTATTCATTGCATGAAGAAATTCGAAAAATAAGATTTTTTTAAAGGAACCGACTATACCTTTAATACAGTACAGCTTGTGTAAATGGACAGGGGATGTATAAATTAATAATGTTTGGAAAGAGAGAAACTGTTCTGTATTCAGAGTACCTGCGA